AGAAGCACACACACATACAACAGCATATACATCCCTAAAAAGATAAGGATGCTCCCTAACCTCAGGCTCCTCACCGAGAAAGGAGATAAGAGCTTAGAATCTTGGTATGCATCTGTAATTCAATTTTATCAAATGTACGGAGGACGATCTTGTTTAAGCATGGTGAGTCTTTTTCTTTTATATATTCTTCATTATCATTTGATATTATTGGAGCAATTATCTATTTCTTACATTGTGAGATTCAATCGTTGTTGTAATCAAATTTTATGTTCTGTTATGCTTGTTCATTCCTATCATCTATCTCAGATCTAGAATAAATTATCTCTGGCTAGGATTTGCCCCAAATCTTTTTATTTAATTAGTTTAACAAAAAGGCCTAATGCTTTTTAGTCAAACATATACTAGTAAGTATTTTAGTAAAGGATGTCATCTATTCCCAAAAAAAAAAAATCAATGTGTAAAAACATTTTTGTAAAAGATCAAGTATATATACAATACATCAGCATCACTCGGAAATAATGCAAAGATATATAAATTTGAGATAAAAAGCAAAGTATTAAAACCACCACAATCTTAGATTCAAACTAATTAAAAGTTGAATTGTGACAATAGACTGACACCACTTGTATAAAATTCTAGGTAGGCATGTCATTTGAGATAGTTGGGAGGTGTCATCCAGTTATGTTCTAAATCTCATATGAATTTAGTACTGAAGATAAATGAAATGTACATATATAGTTTCTTAATAGGAACCATTCATCCTTGATCCTAAAAGTCCCATGAACTCCTAAATCTCAATTTGTTTGGAGGCCAAAGTATGGAGTTAACAAAAATGAACAGCCAATTAATGTGACTCCTAAAAGAAATCCCACAGTAGATGTATTTAATAAAGGAAAATTAGATATCACGATTCTTATTGCACCTTTATGTTAATATTGAATATTAAAAAAATAGGTCACTAGTAAGATAAGAGAGGGAGAGAGACAATTGTAACAAACACATAAGTGTAAAAAATTGTCAGAGATAAGGAATAATCAAGGAAGAAGAAAGGAAGCCTTCTCTTGGCTGGCCACAGTTTCTAATGTTCACTCTCCAATGCACGTATTCTTCTCTTAACTTTTGACATCTTTTCTTCTTCATATAAACTCACTTGTCCTACACTTCTTTCACTATCAAGGCTTGTTAGAGTACATAATGCTCATGGCTTCCCACTTCACTACATATTCCAAAGTTTGGTTTCTCTTCCTTGCTATTGCCTTAGGTAACACATCATCTCTTCTTCCTTCGTTTTTCGAATAAGAGACGAAAAAAGTTAGCGAGATAGCTCCCTTTTCCGTTAAGTAAATACATGAATAACATTTTATATCGTCAGAGTTGAGGGTAAAAAAATCTTTCTAACTTATTTCATTTTAGAATTAATACAGTGATAACACTTTTTGTTTCTTAGTGCTCCGTCCCCCTTGTATAATAAGTGTTACTTTGATTGCACGACTTTCTCTTATAGGGCCACTTAGATTATTATTGAGTTTCATGCTCAAGGGAGGATTAGTGTTTCCTTTTCTTTACACTTTTTGATCATTTTATATTTGTGAGTTTTGACACATTTTTGTGTGACAGGGGTAAAATTGTCCAAGTGTGCAAATATTACCATTATAAACTATTGTAAAGAGACAGTATGGCCTGGAATTACGCCTAAAAACAATTTCAGTGGAGATGGTTTTGAACTGAAACAAGGCCAATCTGCCGTTTTTACCGCCCCGGCCGAGTGGAGTGGTCGTATATGGGGTCGAACCGGCTGCGACTTTGACAAGAACAATAACGGTACGTGCCAAACCGGTAGATGTGGAACCGGTATAAAATGTAACGAACCGGGTCAACCTCCAGCATCAATTGCCGAATTTACCCTTGGAGAAACAGATTTTTACGACGTTAGCCTTGTTGATGGGTTCAACTTGCCCATAGTAGTAAAACCTGTAAATGGCAAAGGAAATTGCAGTTCTACTGGTTGTGACAGTGATCTTAGGCCAAATTGCCCTTCTGAGCTAGCTCTTAAGCTGAACAACAAGACGATTGCTTGCCGGAGCGCGTGTAACGTCTTCGACACCGATGAATATTGCTGCCGGGGTGCATTTAGTAGTCCGGTGTCATGTTTGCCTACAAATTATTCAAGGATTTTCAAAACAGCGTGTCCTGTGGCTTATAGCTTTGCCTTTGATGATCCAACTAGTGTCATCACTTGCTCTTCTACTGACTATGTTGTGTCATTTTGTTCTTCAAGGTAAGCAATTCTAATCTTCTTAATTATAAGTCCTTTTTTTTTAATAACAATGGTGGGTTCGAGCAATGGAAACAGTCTATTGCAGAAATGTTGTGTAAGGCTGTATACAATAGACCTTTATGGTCCGGCCCTTCCCCCAGACCCCGCGCATAGCGGGAGCTTATTGTACTGAGCTGTCCTTTTTGGTGTCAGATCAGCTTGTGCACACCTTGACTATTCCACTAGCATAAAATTTGGGTAACTCCTCCACTAAGGTTTAGGCAGATCGAAAGAAATCGCTTTTGCGCTATCTATCATTGGTGGAATTTGAACCATAGTCTTATGTAGTTTTTATCCCACTTCATTGACAGTTCGACCAACAAAGTTGGATGAAGAAATCTTTTATTTTGTTGAAATTGCAGGAACAAGACCCAGTGTACTAATCAAGGCAAAAACGTAACATGTAATGGAGCATATGGACTGAAGTTACTCTTTCAAACAATGCATATATTGCTGGTTGGATTGACAACAATGATTAGTCTTGGAGGGGTGATGTTTTGACAGAATCTTGAACAGATTCTTAACTTTTTGACTATCTGTTGGCAACTACATTTACTTTTCTCATTCGTTTTAAGGATTTTGATTGCTTTTCCTTGTATTTTGAAATTTTGTTCACAATCTCGAGAGTAGTCTTCAAAAGTGTGAAAACATCAAAATTTGGCCATTTACCCCCAGTGCATAAGCGTTCAAATTCTCAGTAAAACTGCATGTCTATGATATTATTCTTTTATGCTTTGAAGATGATAAATTCACATCCCCCCATCCCCCTACCACCCCCCACCTTTAAACCCCCCCGCCCCCCAAACCCAACCAAACAACGAAAAGGAAAAATTAAGGTAATGAGAACTTAAAAAGCCAGCGATGAAAAACAACAATAAATCACATCATCTTTATATTCTAATTGCTCTGTCTCCTTTTCAGAAGAGATTCATCCAAAATCAATAACCTTTTCAACTAGGGTCCAAGAGGCTAACTATAAAATCCCACCAAATATTACTGTTATTAATGACCAAAAAATGTTTTTCTGCTTCATCTTCAACCTGTCACTCCTACTGCTACCGCCAACTACCCGGATAAAAGAAACAAAGACAAGAAAAGAAAATACCTAGAAGAAGATTTACAATAACCTACTGTCTTTAGCTGTTTTTCTGGTTTTCCTACATCATCATTATGGACTCCTTTCTTTGGTTGGTGCAATCGGACTCATCATCCTCAATGGTAGCACACGACAACTGGAGCGGCAGGCACCATGTCCCACCGCTCCTTCAGAAGGCTCATGAATCTCAAAACCATTTGCCTTCGGAAAGTGAAGTTCTCGGAGTGAATGCATCAAAATCAGGAAAGCAGCTATGTACTTGAATGGAACAATTAGAGAAATGGTTGCAACAAAGTTAGTTAAGTGCCAGAGCAACCTTCCATCGTAATCTGACAGATTTTGAAAATAAATCAATTTAAGCGAAGACAAAATCGAGTATTAGATAAGAAATAACATTATTATCCCGAAGTTCAAGCATATATATAGTAGTAGACTCAGCATAAGCATTTATTGACCCCAAAATTATTACTCAAAAGTGGACAAGAATAAATAATTAGGACAATAATCTCTGTAAAATCCAGAACATGCAGAATCGATCCCCTAAAAACAATTAAAAGAGATCCAGCATAGCCAATTTTTTTTTAAAGAGCTACAACTAATTGATAGAGGCGGTGGTGAGGGGCTGCAGGATAGGAAGGATGCGGATTGTTGATTATTATCACCCCATTGTGGATTTTAAGTTTAAAACCCGGTGGGGGTTTTGGTGGGGGGGGGGGGGGGGGTGGGGGTGGTAGTAGGGTTGGAGGGAGGGGATCAGGAGATGATCCGAACAAGTTCTAAAAGGAGTTAAGCTCTAAATTAAGTGCTATAACAAAAGAAGCCAACATATCATATTAGCCCTCCCTAGAAAGTGCAACTTTTGGTCCCTCAAGAAAATGATTCAATTTAGGTGATCGGATTTCTGAATGGTGTTGGCATTAGGGATAGAGCTACAAGTGGTTGGGGATGAGAAGGTTCGTGTGATGATGAGTGGACAAGGGGACTACTGTATGTTCACTGAATTTAGCCATCGAGAAGGAAATGATTTAAAGAAAAAGGAATCTACTGACTTTAGGTATATCCACTAACTAGTATGTTTAAAAAACAGGAAAAAAGTTAAATGATTTAACAAACAGATTTTCTAGCGGTAACAGTGGTGTGCAGGCCAGCGTGTATGCACCTCTAATAATCCAGAGGGTGCCTTTGCTACCTCCTACTAGCACAGGTACAAAGTAATTAAGTCCACCAAGGCTTAGACAGGTGAGAAGCATTCACCTACTGTTGCTTCTGCGGGAATTAAGATCGATTTAACAAATAGATTGGCTAGAATAATTTTTACTTCATTACAGAGTTAGAACACTAAGAGCAATTTGCCCTTTTGTTCAGAACGAGAACGAAAAGATATATCACCTAAGCAACCAGACACCTAGGACATAATAATACAGTAGAAGTAATTCCAATTGCCCGTCAATTTTTTGAAGAAAACAAATGATGTCTCTGCTACTATGTTAGGGAATTTGAGAGGGCTTACATAATCTATCTACTTCATGTGATCTAGTATCCTTCCAAAATAGCTATAATGATTCTAATAATTGAAGGGATTTACCCTTGCAGAGGATATTTAAAAGTTCCACTCCTAAGCTATTGTTATCTGTCCTTAGCAGGCATATTTTGGATAGCACACATTTTAAGGATAGCGTAAAGAAAAACAATATTTTCTCTGGCCACAGAAAGACAGACCTGATTCCGTAGCAAGTCATGTTAAATGGGAAATAACAAGCAGTTACGAAATTTCTCCGGAGATACCTGAGGTTGGCCAGCAAGAATGATTGCTCGAATCTTGAGCAGCGACACATTGAGGCTCTGCAGATATCTTTCCACTTCACGCAAGGCCTCTTTAACTGCAATAATTTTCTGTAGTGTGTTTGATGGTGGTTGATCACGTATTGTTACCTTTCCAAAATATCTTCCAAGCCGACCTTGTTCCTTGAGCCCCTTCAGTAATAACAAGCCACCAGCCATGACAATCAAGATTGCTGGGAAAACATAAGACAGCATATTCCTGGTCCCAAAAAACTGAGTGCTAAGTCACTGATTTTTTTTGGAAGTGATTGAAATTAAGGTAGATAACTTAGCAAAAACGTCAGGAGCATGCTCACAAAATAAAGTAACTAAGTCAACACAAGTCAGCAACAAATTACTGTGATCCATCCAAAATATGTATAGATATTCATGGGCCACATTCATTGCACAGTGTGTCCTTTAAATAAAAGTAACCAAGTTAACACCAGTCAGCAACAAATCACTGTGATCCTTCCTGAATATGTATAAATATTTTTTTTTTTTGAGATGGTAACAGATCCAATATATTAATAAATCATCAGCACAAATTTTGTACTGGAACCAAGATTACATCAAGAAGAGCTAGGTCAAAACAAAATTAAACTTCCTTGTTCTTCTTACAAGGAGCCTAAGACTTCTATGATTGAATCCTGGTCATCTATATATTCTGCTTTACACCAAAAACTAAAAAGAAGAATAGAATTCATTTTGATCTTCTGTACAGAGCTACTTATATCTTCAAAACACCTTGCATTCCTCTCCTTCCAAATTGTCCACCAAATGGCTGCTGGGACAATTTTCCATCTATCTTTGTTAGATGTAGAGCTCCCCGCCGTGTTCCAGCTAGACAAAAGTTCATAGGTTCTTCCTGGCATTGTCCATCGGATGCCCCTGATGTTAATGAACAACTCCCACAGCTGTCTTGTCACTCTACAATGTAGAAACAGATGGCTAATTGTCTCTGCATCTTGGCCACACAAATAACATCTAGAGCAGATTGATAAACCTCTTTTCATGAGGTTTTCTAGAGTGAGTACTGCTTCTTTAGCCACCAACCAAGTAAAGCATGCCACTTTATATGGTATTTTGACTTTCCAGATATGCTTCCAAGGCCATAGGCTGAGTTGAGATCCTACCCGATTCAGATTTTTATAGGCTGATCCTACTGTAAACCTCCCGCTGCTATGTTTCTGCCATACTAAAGTGTCTTCCCCTTCTTGTAATCCTCTGCATTGCTCCAAAGTATTGTAAAATTCAGTTATTGTTGTTAGTTCCCAGTCTTGTAACAATCTTCTGAATGTCAAGTTCCATCCTTCAATACCCCATACCTCCTTAACTGTTGCCCCTTGTTGCTGATTCAAAGTAAAAATATCAGGGAACAAATTCTTCAAACTTCCAATTCCTAACCAGTTGTCCTCCCAAAATAACGTTTTCCTTCCATCCCTCACATTAAGACTTAAGTCATGAAAAAGGTTTGGCCATAAGTTCCGGATTGATCTCCATAGACTAATTCCATAAGGGTTCTTCACCTCTTTGGTCATCCAAAACCCTTCTTTTCCATATTTTGCCTTTATCACCTTGCCCCATAGTGTTTGTTCTTCCTTAGGAAACCTCCATAACCACTTCATCAACAGACATTTGTTCTGCTTCCTAAGGTTTTTGATTCCTAATCCACCTTCTCGTTTACTAATAGTCAGCTTCTTCCAGTTAACTAGGTGAAATCCTTTTTTTTCTTTATTTCCATGCCATAAAAAGTTCCTTCTCAGAGTTTCCAATCTATTTTCTACACTTGCAGGTAGAGGAAATAAAGACATCATGTAGGTAGGGAGAGCATCTAGCACAGAGTTAATAAGTACTAGTCTACCTCCCAAAGAGATATACTGTGTTTTCCATCTAGCTAGCTTTTTCTCACATCTTTCCAAAACTCCATTCCAAATTTCTTTGGATTTGCTTTTTGCTCCCAAAGGCATTCCCAGATAGATAGTTGGAGTTGTGCCTATTTCTCCTCCCAAGATGTTTGCCAGCATCTGAATATTAGGCACCTCATTAACTGGGAAAATCTGACTTTTTCTCCAGTTAATGTGAAGACCAGAGACAGCTTCAAAGAGGATGAGGATAATCCTGAGGTACTTTACTTGACTCTCTTCTGTTCCACAAAAAATAAGGGTATCATCTGCATATTGTAAGTGAGTTATTTCTAACCTCTCATCTTGATTATTTGCTACGTTGAATCCCTTAATCCACCCATTATAGTGAGCAGTCTTCAACATATTGTTCAAACCTTCCATAGCTAGTATGAAAAGGAAAGGTGAAAGGGGGTCACCTTGTCTCAAGCCCCTTTGAGAAGGGAAAAACCCTACTGGAGATCCATTAATCAAAATAGAGAACCTAACAGTACTAATACATTATTTCATCCAACTGATCCACTTCCTTCCAAACCCCATCTTGTGGAGAATTCCCAGGAGGAAATTCCAGTTGACATGATCATACGCTTTCTCGATATCTAGCTTGCACATTATTCCTGGCTCCTTCTCCTTAATCCTAGAGTGTATACATTCATTAGCAATCAATACAGCATCTGTGATTTGTCTCCCTTTAATGAAAGCCATCTGGTGTGAGTCAACTAGTTTGTGCATCACTTTCTTAAGTCTTTCAGTGAGAATTTTAGAAATCAACTTGTATATGCTTCCTATTAAGCTAATAGGCCTGAAATCTCTTAGCTCCTTTGCTCCATTCTTTTTAGGAATCAGA